GTCTCTGCCGGCATTGTTGATTCGTGGGATCAAGTATATATAATATAATGAAATATTTACAATAACATATTAATATTAAAGTAATTTATATTATAATTCAAATCATGTGATATTCAATTTTTTTCACTTGTTTATATAGACGTTTAATGACATGACACCTTTCTCTCCCAATGACTTAGACGACGTCCGTAGACATTGGACATTTATTTTTGATGCGTTAGTTGAAAAAAGGGTGGTACTGTATGAATTTGTCTTTGATGATTATAAATATATTTTTATTGTTTAATTTGATATTTTGTAAATTTTAGCTAATATATTTATAATATACAGGTAAAAAAATTACAGGTTTGTAATATATGGAAAAATAAAATAAAATTAAAAAAATAAAGTATTTAATCATGGTTATTTATACCAACCTTTGTTGTAGATAGAGCGTAAAATATTATAAACCATACAATCACTAGGTTTCAAACCCATGCCCTTTCGCTTTACATCACAACGGTTGTATACTTTAACCATTGTGATATGTAGTGTGCTACCTAGTTTATCACAACGGTCCTACACCCGTGGTGGAAAACATCATACGCACAATCACACTTTATCTCACAACAGTTGATTGGACGTGGTTGTATCTATTTTTCAACAATTATGATAGGTATTTTACGTAGTACATATAGATGCGAAAAGAGGTATATCCTATAAACGTGATGGATAAACCTTGGCCATTTCCAAATACCAATTTATTTGAGACAGATGTAGAAACACTATCCAAAAAATTCTCTATAATATTGGTGACATGTTGAGTTGCTCTAGAATCTAGATACCACTGAGAAGATGTGAAGTGAGTTTTGGTGGACTCTGTCCCAGTCAGGTAGGCTTGAGGTTTCTTTTGAGAGTATGAAGAATAAGGATGATTAACTGGCCTAGAGGAGAATCCAGTTAAAGGTTCTCTCTAGGTCAGAGCCACATGAGCCAACCACTGATTATTAGGAGTGATAGAAGGTGGAACTTGCGCCCAAGGAGACATAAATTGGTGTTGGGAGGGAGGATAAAGTGTAGTGTTTCCTCCATTGATTTGACTTTTAAGGTGTGAATGAAAGGCAATGGTAATAAACTTTAGCATCATGTCCAAATTTAGAGCAAATTTGGCACTGAACACGTGTTTTACCATCATTTCTACCACCACCACAAAATCCACTAGATCTGCCACCTCTAATACCTCCACGAGTTCCAACAAATGTGGAAATGAATTCATGAGAGGGCATATGGAACTGAGCATATTGAGGTGCATACATATTGTTAGTCAGAGTAGAATCAGGTGTAGTTGCAGTGGTACCTTGAATGAGGTTAACAGAAAGAGGCTCTTGCACAAGTGCTTGAGGTGTGCGTTCAAGTATAGCTTCATGAGATGAAATCATAGTTTCAGGAACAATTAAGGCACACGGTTCATCACGATGCTGAATAATCGAAGAAAGACCTTGATATTCAGTAGGAAGATCATCCAAAATCTTTTGTAACTAATCATGATGTGAGACTAGATCACCTATGGATTCTAGAATATTTATAATTTTTTGAATTCGTCCAAGATATTGAGCAATCTTACAATCTAACTTCTCAATTCTGCATAACTCGTAACGAAGTTGTCGAGATTTCGTGTAAACCTGAGTGCATTGAAACTGATCAATCACAAACCATACTTCATGTGTGTGAACGCACTTTACCACACGTGCAAGAACTGAGTCCTAAAGCGTCGTCAACATCCATGTGAAGAGAAACAAATATTCATGCTGCCACATAAGATACATTAGATTTTCCACATCAGAGGCACGATCGTCAAGCGAGAGATAACATATATGTATATCAGGATTCATGAGATGACGATGCAGCTTATGGATACGAATGATACCTTTGACTTGATGTTTCCATGAGAGGAAGTTGGAACCATTGAGCTTGATGGTAAATTGTTGCGTGAACATTTTGAACGAGTTTTTCATGGAATTTCCAGAAATTGATTTCTCAATGTGGCGCGAAAAGTTTTCATTCTTCGAAGGTGATGATTGTGAAGTTTCAGGAGAAGCCATGGTGAAACTAGATCAGAAGGCTCTAGATACCCTGATAGAAAAAGGAAAAGGATGAATAATGTTTCATCATTGAAAGAGAGAGACAAAAATTATGTTATTGATGATTTGTTAATCTATTACACACACGCGTGCACACACACACATCCGCACACAAAGAGATTGAGTGTTTCTTATTTATAGGCATTTAATGAGTGTGCACTGAGCATAACCAACTCAGTGCTAGCTCCGCAATGTGTAACTTACTTGTACACATTCTAATAACGTTATCTAAACCGGTTTTGCAACTAACTTTATATTCATAAAGCATATATGCTTTATGATTATGCTAGTATACTCTAATAAGTAACACCTCAATGCACAATGTTAGTGGTATTCAACCTGCATATCATCATCATATAGAGTCGAGCGGACCCATAAGATATGGAACCTACTAAGATTATTATCGCACTCCATTATTGTTGTTATTTTTTAGGAAGTTCTATGCAGGTGAAAGGTAAAGATAATTTTGGTTGATGTCCTTGGTGACTTGGTATTTTGGATGGCGTTCCGCTGTGCAGATATCTATTTTGAGATCATTCAGAGAATGATCTAGGTCCTAGTTTTCTGATAGGCATCTTTGTATATATTATGTCTTAGTTGCTATTTTTTTGGGCATGTTTATGTATACATTACTATCAATAGGCTCTTATGTATTTTAGTATCATACTTACACTATGTATAATATGTATTTTAGACATTTATTATATGTGGGTGTTACATTTATAGAGATCTTCCAAAATTTTAAATTTAGCATGAACACTTCTAGTGTCAGCTACCTTATTTGCGGTCTCAGTTGGGTCAGCCCCCAAATATGTAACCAACATCTCACTGACTTCTTCTCAGTGATGGGAAGATGCGGGAGGCATGCGACTTCATTCTAGGTGAGGGTCATCTTTCCAATATAAATGTGGAAAGATGAGTTCTGTGAATGTCATCTCTCTGCAAATGTTGTTTGCATGTCATGGTTTATAGTCATGTGCGTAGCAGAACGTAAATCGGCAGGACCAGAATAATGAACGACATTCTTAAACCAATCAGCATCGGGATGTTCCAAATCCAATATCTTTCTATCGTGGTTTACCAATTTTAAACACAAGAGCTCCTGTAAAAATATATCACCATCAGTTGCGGTTTAATTAGTTTAAAACATATGTAATGCAAAAGTAAATAAATATACATCTCCTTCTCAGACATGCCTAGCAGCATGGTCTCTATAGAGATAAAGTAAAGAGGTGTCAAATAGGTCTACTAGATAATTCTCTAAAGGGGCATCAACAGCGGATTCCTCTAGACTTTAAGGGCTTCAGATGCTGCTTCATCATCTGGGGACATGGCCCCGTGAAGTAGAGGCCTAAGACAAGCGACTACGAGAAGTAGAACCAGATGGTTGTGAACCTCTACGTTGCGAACCATCAAACGAGTTATCATCGACTCTTGGCGTTGTGGTCCTGCCCGCGACCCTCTCACGTCGTATAGGCGCGGTTTGGGAGACACGTCTGAGCCTAATTCTTCCAAGATTGTTTTCAGTCATTACACCTGCTTTAAAACCAAAAATTCACATCACAAATCCAACCAAAACTCAGCCAAACAAAAATACGGAGATACATCTCCAAAAATAGTTCTGCCAGAATCTGGATATTCATCTTCAGATAATGTCACGACTTTCTCAGTCATGACAGAAACACCATTGCTTCCTTAACTTCCAAACAAATGTCAATGTATGTCTCTATTAGCTACCTATTTCGATTTTACTACTATCTAATGCAACTTAAACAACATATGTTATCTAAAACATCATTCAAATCTATAAAAGAAAGGAAATGAGATGAGAAACTTACCAAATTAGAGTTGTGGATGAGAAGTTTGAATGGAGTGAGTTACTTTGCACCAAATGAAGTAAAATAGAGTGAGTGAACTTGATGAAGCTTACTCAAATGGGGTTTGGAAATGGTTTGCAGCAAAATAGCTCAAATGAATTTTTTTAGTGAGTATTGAAAAAATGCAGGAGGAAGAGAGGAAGGGTGTAGCGCTAGGCATGGCAACAGGGTAGGATGCATGCGGGTTCAAACGGACTCAAACCTACTCTCGCATCCAAACCCGCCCTCGTCCTCGCATCCAAACCCGATCAGAGCTATTAACTGGTCCCCTACCCCTGCCCTGCCCCCATTAAGGAACGAGTTTCCTCGCACCCGTCTCACCCCCCACTCGCATAAATTGTATTTTCTTAAATAACAAAAAATATAACGTTTAAAAAAATAAATGTACATAACTTATCGGAAGATGCATTTCCGTAACACTCGTTGAATTTTGAAATTATAACGTTTAAAAAAATATCTCCGAACTCACTCTTATATTATATGGAGATGTATTCAAATTATATTTTGAAAAAAAAAATGACTCATCCATTTGCGCAAAAGAGTGTAAAAACCGGTGGGACACCCCAAATGTGAAAAAAGTAACTCCCATATTTTTTAGTTTTTTTAATAAAATTTATTTTGGATTCCTGAATCAGTCATTATATTTACCTTTTTGAAAAAATGATCGGTCACTAGGTTAAAAACTTAATATTTAACTAAACTATAGTTTAAACCAAAATATGCAGTAATTTAATTAAATGTAAATATAAAAAGAAATGTAATAACACCACATAAAATACAGGTGAACACTCTCATTCCTTAAAATTGTGTTAAGCATTAATATTCAATCATTTGAATTTATAGCAGAATTAAGATTTTGAATTAATTTCACCTTAAGAATGATTACCAAATAATGCTAACAAAAATAATCTCATCCAGAAAAACAAAACTAACAATAAATAAATAGAATCCTGTCTAGGACTAACATTTGTTCTTTCTCAATAACATCTCTAACATAATAATATTATCCTAGAGAATTTCCTGAAAGGTTTGGTGATAAATACATAATAGAAGAACCTTTATCCGTCTCTTTGTTCACCTTGTTCCTGATTTCTATAACCTTCTTGTGAGAATTTGAGTGCATTGATGCTTCAAAGGTTGGGCTAGCTGCAGGCCTGTATTCAGGAAAGAGGCGGCCGGACCTGTATCGAACTCCACACGCGTTGCATAGGGTCTTCGGACCTTTAGGGCCCTCTCTCCATTGCGGCGTCTCTGTCACCTCGCAATGCGTACATTTTCTGGGGGTAACTGATTCCTGTGATGTGGATCTCTTCATCTTAATACCATCGGAGGGTTGGGAGATATCCTTTTTCTTTGGCTTTCTTTGGACTCTGCACTGCGAGATATCCTTTTTTCTTGGCTTACCAGCACGCTGTGTTATGGATTGATGTTTTTGAAGAGGTATGAAGGGAATTAAGAAGAGCTTGTTGAAGCTTGAGAGACGCCGACGTTTACTGCGAGGACGCTTTGCCGGGATCACTGGTAACTCAAAGTTGGAGTTCTCGACTGAAGAATAACTACTGCTTTCAAAAACTGAAACTGGGCTGTAGGTTTGGCATTGGAGCAAATTTGTTCCCTTGAAAGAGAAGTTTTGGATTGGAATAGTTTTGCCATATTTAGCTCCAGCAGTCTTCGGAAGCTGTTTTATTGTGGAAACACAATTTAAATCAGATACACAAATGACGGACACACCTAACCAACATATCTAGCAATAGAAATAAAAAAGATAAATTTTCAATAGTATATCTGCGTAGCACTGACACTTCAGATTAAGAATGTGTCTAATATTCTACACGTGACACTTCAGATTAAGAATGTGTCTAATATTCTACACGTGACACTTCAGATTAAGAGTGTGTTTGATGTTCTACACGTGTCAATGTCTATATATGTGTCAATTAGGTTGTACGGGTTTGGTACTAGTAGTGGATACAAGTATGGGTACGTGATACAAAAGTTTTAAAGAAACTAAGGTACGGGTAAGTTAAGAATATACAAAGAAACATACTTCTATCTTAATCCTTGCTAAGAGACGCTATTGATCAATGTTAGACTAATCGAGTCGAGCTACCTTATAAATTCATGAATTTTCATCATGTTAAACAGGCCAAAGGAGTGTCTTTGAATACCATATTACCTAGATAAGAACCAACTTCAAGCACACACGCGAACATGTATACAAAACCAACTTCTTAAGAAATCAAGGAAGCAAAATTTACATCTTTTTAAGTATGGTTACCATCTATTCATCATAACTTTTAAACACATATAACTTCAAAACATTGTTACCAAAACTTTTCACTTTCAGACGGCAATACCCCCTCAAAATTAAGACATGAATACAATTTACGGAAGAAAATTGACAGATTTTTAGTGTCGACTAATATGCAAAAAATTGTACCTTTGAAGAGATTTTTTAGCATAACTTTTAGTCAGGATTGCCTTTAAGGGCATGCAAGGCAGACTACCGCACAAGAACCTCAAATTTATCACAATTAAACCGTGGTTGAATAGAGCCTCATAACATATTTGTCATAGTTAAATTGAGGCTAAATAAGACCCCTATAGTTTTGTTAAAGTTGAACTGTGATACACTGTGTCTCCAAAAACTTAAAACGGCCTTGCTTTTAGTCTTTTACTCGATAAATAATACCTTGAATTGAGTTGAAAACCAAAATGCATCCCAATAATAAAGACAAGTATCACATTTTAATAATCATGCTTATGAACTAATTGTAAGAAAACCGAATCTTTAGCATTATCTTCTTACTTATCGACAACGAAGTTTGATAACACATCTTATCTCTAAGAGAGCTAGAAGACATTTAAAGAACAGTTTAATCAAAGGATGCTTAATCATTAAAATCATCAAGTTCTCCCTTTTCACTTACTAGTCCTCGTTGTTCTTTTAAGCCCGAATTAACAATATTTCTTCTGTTAATATGCGAAAGTTCCTGCATAACATCATTGTAGTAATTCTCAATTCCCGCTTAAAAATCCTGACCAACAAAACGTCATATAGTCATCAAAGCAAGCCCTATCAAAGTCGCATTCATTCAAAATTCCATACCCTATCAAACAAATTAGTCTTTCCTAGTAACCAAACACCGAAAACATGACAAATAATCAAAATGTATGGTCCAATGCTTCTATTGGCTTCACATATGCACATAACTAATCTATCACCGACAGAAACATAAAACTCACAGAAGCAGAGAAACTGTTGACAAGATTCGGTTTCTCATTTTGAGTTTCGCCGCACAAATCAAACGATGGTACTGAGAAAACACCAAGAGATGGCTCCTCAATGTGTTTGAACTGATCATTCCAATCTTGTTCCACAACATCAGTTTCCACATCATCATCAAGTGGGAAATCAAAAAACTCAACAACATCACCAAGAATCTCATCCGACACACCGTTAAAATTGTTGTCGAAAAACCAACAGTTCTTCATATTAGCATTATCCTGAAAAAGGAAAAACCATCCATGAGTCCATAACACATAACACATAGCACCGACAAAAAAACCGTGTATCCGTGTCTGTATCAGACACTTGCACCGAAACTTGTAAATATATTGAATTTATTTATTTTTTCAAATTATTATCAGCATCGTTGTATCAGTGTCGGGATCGGGGTGTGCGTGCATGATATGCTACTTCACATTTATTCTATTACCAGTGTAGTTATTAAACTTAAACCAACTGCATGTACAAATTTGATAACATAACCAGCTAGAGTACAATGTTCATACTGAAATTGAAGAACCAAGACAACAAAATTGAGATTTGAAAACACTTACCGGAACTGAACTGGAGGTTCAAACGGCGGTGGCGGTAGAGTGAATGATGAAGAGATGAGGAAGCCCTTATCTGCTGCCGCACTTGATGATGCTGTCTGGTCTGAGCTGTCCTAACTGTAAAATAAATGAATCTTTGCCTCTTTTTCTTAGTTGCCCCATGTGACATGTTTCTTCTCATATTCCACGTTACAAACTTTTTTTTTATTGTTTGTTGTTTTCTTTGATTAAGATTGTTTTTTAATTTTATAGTATTATTTTTAGTAATTATTGGGTGGTAGTAATTATTTTTATAAATGTTGAAACAAAGTCGTGATCTTTAGTTGATACGAAGAATAAGAAAATGTGTGAGGATAATGCGTCAAGATCTATTAAAAAAATTATAAGATTTAATTTTGTTTTGTTTTTCAATTTGAAACAATATCATTGCTTTTAAGATATTTTTTTTTCGGTTTGAGAATATTAAAATTTCAAATGAATAGCAATTATAACTCTTGAAAGAATTTGTGACACCAAATTAATTAAGAAAAAAATTTGATTATCAAAAAATAAATCTAAGATAACTTATTATATTTTCAACGTACTTTCACCTCTTTAATATTATTCTTAAAAGTTAGAAGTGTGGTATCACTAGGGCTGGCAATGAACCGAACCAACTCGAAAATAGTTCGAAATTCGATTCGACAATTAGATCGTTGAACTAGGTTCATGAACCTAATGAGTTGAGTATGAGCGAAAAATTAAATTCGTTAACTAAATGAGCTGAACTTGAACTCTACATAGTTCGACTCGTTAGGTTCATGAGTTAACTCGATTACATATGAGAATAATTATACTGTCTTTAAGATTAGGTTTAAATATTTAATCTAAATCTTAGACAAATTTAATCTTCAACTTAGTAGTTTTTGAATTAGACTCTCAAATGTATCTCTTGAAAGTTGTGTAAGTTTTGAATTAGTAGATTTCGAAGATAAAGTTAAATTTCAATATGATAATTTTTATTTTATTTTAATATTTTATTTTAAAAAAAAATATATTTATTTAAAATGTCAAATATACTAAAATATATATATATATTAAAAAAAATAGTTTTTAAGCCCGTGAATCATGTGAGCTGATCCTAATGAGTTGAACCAAACTGTTCGTGAACTTATAACAAGTCGAGTTTGAACTTAAAAAAAAGTTCGTGTTGAACTCGAACTCGAACTCGAACTCGAAACAATTCATAACGAGTCGAGTTTGAGCTTAAAAAAAAGTTCGTGTTGAACTCGAACTCGAACTCGAACTCGAAAAATTCTTAATGAGTCGAGCCGAGCTGAGGTGAGTTCGACTCGACTCGACTCATTTCCAGCCCTAGGTATCACAATTTTATAATCTTTCTAAATAAATTTGAATATTAGTTTTTTTGTCTAATTAGTGACAAATTTAATTATTGATTTTTGAATTTTTTTTATCGTTAATAGAATAAAAAAATTAATATAAAATATTTTGAAAAGTTAAAAAATCAATATAGACCATTTTTAATTTAAAGGATCAAAATAAATTTGGAGGTTAAGATACGAGATTAAAAAGAATATTAAATATTTTCTTAATTATTAATTTCTTTTAAAAAGATACATTCATTTAATTTTATCCATTTTATTCAATAAGTTCATATGGTTTTTCCATTAATAATTTCTTTTGAAAAGGAGATATTGGTTTTCCATGTTATGTGTTTCTCACTTATCAGAGTGAAATTTTAATAGTGTCTATAACATTCAGATTTTATTCTCGTGACACACTCAAAAATATAAAAAAAAATTCAGAGATTAGAATCTAGACTTGTCTCTTACCACACCACACTCATTTCAGAACAAGATCAAAACAACATTGAAATAATTTGGATTTCAATCTCCATAATTTTAACGAATTCCAATCTCCTGACGCGTTTGATTCATATGCTCCCTTCTTCATTTTAGAAAATTACTCAGAACTCAAAATATAACTTTATTCCCTTTCATTCAATCAAGGTTTCTCATTTTTTAAGTTTTCTCACAATTTGTTAAGTTTTTCATTTTCTTCCTTTTTTAGGTTTGTGATTAATGCATTACCTAAATAGGTTGTTTATATTAGAGTTTAGTTTAACTCATTCTTACAAAATCGACTTTAAAACTGGCTTATAAGGTGAGGGGTGTCACTCTATATAAACTCTTTTCAAGCTCTATGTCTAACCAATGTGAGACTTATGATCTTTCCAATATACTTTTTCACGCCCAATACTCTTTTAGGTTTGGTGTGTGGATATAACCAGTGAGCGGCCCATGATCGGATCAATAACTCTGATACCATATTAGAGTTTGGTATAACTCATCCTTACAAAATCGGCTTTAAAACCAGCTTGTAAGGTGAGGGGTGTCACTTTATATATAAAAAATTCAAGTTTTATGTCTAACCAATGTGGGACTTGCGATCTTCCCGATAGTTTATGATTCATTAGATTGTAGTTAATAGCATCATGGATTGATTTATGATGCATGCATTTACATTTTTTCAAGTTTATAGCGTAGGGGTTTTGCCTGTTCATGTTATGCTTCTTTGGTTTTGTCTGGAGTTTGGAACTTGGACCATGAGTCTGGAGAAAAAAATCCTAATTTTCCTGTTATGCGTCGTTTTTTTTTTTTCAATTTTAGCCTTTAGGTTTGCCTTATTTGATTATGATGTAATTTTTTGGTGTAATTATAGGTAAGATGCTTGACAACTAAGACGGATTAAGGCATGATAGAGTGACCCGGCATGCTTCCGTTCAGAGGGAAAAGTTATATTCTATCATCCAACCGTTGGTACCACTTTATTTGATGCAGGAACATCGCCTTCCTGAACTCACGTATCTCACGCATCGTCCTCCCAAAGACATGTGTCCCGTATTGTTGCATGTGATGCCTCAAAAGCCCCAGAAGTCCATGTTGTTGAACCTCTTGTTGTCATTCATGATGTTTTTCCAAGAAACCCCTCAGACCTATCAGTTTTTCCTCTATAAACAAATCATATTGATAGGCATGTATGGGATGGAAGCGTAACATAGATCTTTAATTATTCATTTAAATATATGTGTTATAAGATTTTAAATTTCTGACTATGATGTTTTTTTACAATACTGTGGTACGCTCAGTGGCGGATCTTGACTAAAATATTAGGGGTGATAAGTATTAACTAAAATATTATAATTAAAATTGACTTAAAATTATAAAACTTAGATACAAATTTTTCAAATATTCAAAATAAATTTTACAAAATAAAAATATAATATATAAAAGGAGATATCCAACCTCGATTTAAAGTATTGTCTTCCGCTCTTTTAAAGACTAGAACTCATAAATAATTGAATCAATGGTGAAGTGCTCAGCTATTTCTTTTTCAATGTAAAACATCATATTGTTAGCAAGAAATTCATCCACCATCTTATTGCGCAATCTTGTCTTGATTATCTTCATTGTTGAGAATGATATTTTTGTAGTAGTTGTAGAAACTAGAAGAGTTAAGATAAGACAAATAAGTCGATAAATCAAATAATATGTATCTGTCTTCCCTATCTTTTTTAGAGCTTCACACAATTCATACATAGTTGACAAGTTATTTAAATCAGGATGACCAAAAACGTCAAGATGAAAGTGTTAAAGTTGATGTCTCAAACTAATTTTCTCATGCTCACTAAAATCTGTAGGATAGAATTTATCTACGAGAGCACACATATTATTTATATCAAATGTATGTAATAAGAATAAGGACAATCCTTGATTAATAATGCTTGCAATCTGTTCCACTCCCCTCTCATATTACTAGCACCAACATACCCTTTCCCACAAATATCTAAAAAATTTAGACCATGTCGAGAAAGACCATCACAAATTTCATTTTCAAAAGTGATAGTCATAGTGTCGTTAACATGTACAAGCTTAAAAAATTTATTCTTGAATACACCCGTTTTTATCCACAACTCTCAAGATAATAGCCATTTGTTCCTGTCGCAGTGAAATTGGATACCAAGCTATTGATTAACTTGAATCTTAATTCATTACAACTGGTCTTTAATTTATCCAAAGGAAGGGAAAAAGATCGAATTACCCACAATGCAATGCAAATGCAAAAGCTAGAGAGTTATAGGTTCGAGGGTTGGTTAAACTTATGGAAGGTGCTAGCATCCTAAGTTTCTGTAGTACTCTACAGGAACCTCTTGTTTTAATGTGTTTATTGCTAAGGGTTATCTGCTTAAGGATAAAAGACCTAGGGGTTTATTTCTAAGTATACTCGCCAAGACGTCGCATCTTGTGCCTACATATCTTGACGGGAATGGAATCAGAGTATTTGTAGTTCCCCTAAAGGGTTTAAGGAGTTATTTGACTATGGTCAAAGTTCCTAAGGGATTAGGGTAGTTGATTGATTGGGTCTAGGAGAAAAGACGAGTTGTCATCTCAAAGGAGAGGACTTGACTTAGCCACCATAACTTGTAGGAAAATAGTCTTTGCATCGTTTTGAGAGAATGGATTAGAAACTCGGATTGTGATCGACGAGTATGCCACTATCACTCTCAAGCGAAAAAGTCCCTACATATTGATTATATTGTTATGAGGCAGGAGATTTATATCTCGACTATCAAGATGACTCATGTCTTATTCTCT